GGCCTTACAAGAGGGTTTTAATTGCGGGGGATCTGCTGTGGCGGCATCGTGGGCTCAGGAAACCTAGACAGGAAAACATCGGAAAAAACATAAAAGAAAACATACATCAGAGTGTTTTTCATATGGGGAAACAGGAGCAAGCTAGGAACACCTGTGACTGTCGATACTTTCAGGGTGCAGATGACCGAACAATTTAGATCCTTTTGTAGCGGCCTTTGCTGAAAGGATCCCTTCTGTGGCGACCTTACACAAGGATGTTCATTGTGATGGATCTGCAATGGCCCCCGCAATTAGAATCCTTATGTCGCAGCCTGTACAAGGGGATTCCGTTTGTGGCGGGCCTACAAGACGGTTTTACTTATGGGGAATATGCAGTGGCGGCGCCGTGGGCCGAGGAAAGCTGGAGAGGAAAACAGGAAAACCAGGAATAACAACGAAACAAGCACATGCTTTCACATGGGAGAACAAAAACAGGCTAGGACAATTTGTGCCTGTTGCTATTCTTGAGGTGCCGGTAATCTACAATTATAATATTTTTTGTAAGGCCGCTATTTGTTGACCATCTGCACCTTGCAATAATGACACCCACAGGTTGTCATAGCGTTGTCCTGTTTCTTTCGTGAAAATAAAAGCGTTTCCATGTGTTTCCTGTTTTTGATCATGTGTTCCTTTCTAGCTTTCCTGGGCAAGCGGTGCCGCATCTGCATATCCCCACACTTAAAACCTTATTGTAAGGCCGCAACACAAGGAACCTCTTTGTACAGGCTGTTACAAAAGGCTTCTAAGTGTGGAGGCCATTGCGGATCCATCACACATAAAATCCTTGTGTCGGGTCGCCACGAAAGGGATCCTTGTTTAAAGGCACAACAAGGATTTCAAGTGTAGATCATCTGCGCCTTCAAAATGGCGACAGTCACGGGTTGTCCTTTTCTTTTGTTTTCCCATGTGAAAACGCAGTTTTGTCTTGTTTGTCATTTTTGTGTGTTATCCCCTCTTTCGCCATCCTGGGCCCACGGTGCCGCCATTGCAGATCCCTCACAGTTAAAACCCTATTGTAAGGCAGCCACGAAAAGAATATCCTTGTACAGGCTGCTACAAAAGGATTCTAAGTGTGGGGGGCAACTGCAGATCCATCACAATGATGATCCTTGTGGAGCTTGTTTTTTTATTGCTCGGACCCGTAACGCCCGTTACGGGGGGGGGTTCCCCCCCCCCGTAACGGTAACGAGCGTACGGGGACGGGGGTGCGGACCCCCCGTCCGTCCAGGCAGGCATGTTGTGACGCTCACATGTGTGCTCAGGTTCGAGGTTCGAGGTTCTAACCTCGGCGCAAACTCAAAATGGGTCCACGGGGCCCGACTGGGGCTCAGACGCACCAGTTTCCCGAGCCGCGTCCAGCCGCGGCGACGACGAAGGCCCTCGAGGGCCAGGATGCCTCGATCCTCGAGGTTCGATGTTCGCATCCCTCGGCGCGAACCTTTCAACGGGTTCCGGTCTGGCCCCTCCACCTCCTTTGCCTTGCTTCTGCACTCCCTCCAGTGCTCGTGCCCTCCACCTCCTCTCACCTCCTGGGGGGAGGGGGGAGCGAGGCAGAAGGAGGAGGAGGAGGAGGATGAGGAGGACGAGGAGGACGAGGAGGGTTGGAACAGGATCGGAGGAGGAGGTGATGGGGGATCGGAGGAGGGGCATGAGGAGGAGGAGGGGGGAGAAGAGGAGGAGGAGGAGGAGGATGGAGGATCGGAGGGGGATCGGAGGAGGAGGGGGATCATCTTCCTCTGGTCCCTCCGAGCGTCCTCCTCCGATCATCCTTCTCCGATCCTCCTTTCAAAAAACGACCTGGGATCAAAGGCTGGTCCACGAGGGCCGTCCGTGCGGTACGAAACCCGTCTGTTGTGGGACCTGTTTGCTTCATGGGCGACCTCCAGTGGATATCTTTCGGCGGCGAGCCCAGGGGGGGAGTGAGAGGGGGCAGGCCTTCTCAGAAGGCGGCGGGACTTCTCAGAAGCCCTCTGGCCTTCAGAGAAGCCCTCCGTGTCTTCGGGGGAGGCTTGGACATCTTCTCAGAAGGCCGGAGGCCTTCTGAGCCTTCTCAAAAGGCCCGCCCCCTGTCATTTCCCCCCTCGGCTCGCCGCCAAATCTTGCGGGCAGTGCCAACGGGCACTGCGCTTTAGCACTTGATCGGAGGTGTGGCGCGCCACAGGTGCCACAGAATGGTCGTCGTCATCCCTGCCGCGTCCGTTGCAATTATCCTGCGGGCTGCACCCGGAGTCCCGACGCCCGCCCGCCAGCACGACGTTTCCCCGAACAGTGCGCGCACCAGGAGTTCCGTTGAAACGCAGCGCCACAAAATGGCCCCGCCTTTGGCGCAACCTGTGGCGCAACCATCGACGCAACTTATGGCACGCCCTGAGGGCGCAACCTAAGGCGCAACGTAAGGCGCGATTTGTGGGGCGCCCTGGGTGCGCAACCTATGGCGCAAGCTATGGCACGCCCTGGGGGCGCATCCTATGGCGCAGCTTACGGCTCAACCTATGGCGCAGGTAATTGTACGCAAGCACAGCGTGTGGTGTAACGCATCGGGCAAGCCATGGCGCAACCAGCCGGTGCACTCTCACAATATCAGTATGACTACTACCACTGTCCTCCCTCCATTCTCCCTGTGCTGGTGCAAGGGGCAGGATTGGGCGAGACCTGCACGCGGATGTGGCCGCATGTCCTTCCAACGCTCGGCCCTCCTACCTCGCGCGGCTGGTCACGCCAGCCCCCCGCATGTGCATCCAGCAAGTGGGCCCCAAGCGTTGCTGAAGCTTTCGGCAACTGGCTGCGGACACGGCGGCGGCGGCGGCGACGGCGACGGCGGCATCGGCGGCGACGACGACGGCGGTGACGGCGGCGGCGGTCACCTTCACCGCCGCCGCCGCCGCTTGCCGCCGTCGGCGTCGTCGCCGTCGGCGCCGCCGTCGTCGTCGTCGTCGTCGTGGTCGCCGTCGCCGCCGCCCGTGTCGCCGCCGCCGCCGCCGTCGCCCCCCAGGTCGCCGTCGCAACTGACGGCGACGACGACGACGCACCCGCGTGCACGCTCCAGCCGTCGACCCATGTCTCAAGGGCCTTGTGCCAGTGCAGGGAACTCCTGCTTCCTGTATTCCCTAGGCTGCCGCCGCCCGGCGCGCCCCCACTGTGCGTGGTTTACACTCCGCACAAAAAAAACCGTACACAAGCTTTGTGGTGCACACGTGCCATGTGGTATACACAGGCGCCACGGTTCATACTCCCATGATGTACACAGTCGCAATGGAGTACACAGGCGCTGTGGGCTCAACAGGTCCGAGCGCTCTTTGAACCGGAAAAACTAAGATCCACAAGCAGCTCACATAATGAAAGGGCCACGGTTGGGCCCCGAGCGATCTTCTGGACTTTCGCTCCGCCGGTACCTTACAGGTGTACAGAAGCTTTGTGGTGTACGCTGGCATTCTGGTGCAAACACGGGGCGTTGAAACAGCAGCTGTGGTGCACGCGGGCGCCGTGGTGTGCACCAACAGTGAGATGTACAAGGGCGCTGTGGTGCACCCGCCTGTCATGATGTGCTCAGTCGCCGTGGTGCACACATACCATTTCTGCCGCAGTTGTGGTGTACAAAGGCATCGCGGTGTACAGAGCCTATGCAGTGTGCACAGGCACGGTCGGCTTCGACGACGACGACAGCGGCGACGACGACGACGACGACGAAGCCTACCGTGCCGACAGTTGTGTTGGTAATAAGTACCAGGGCCCGTGCGAGGGCCCCGCCGCGCGTTACTGTTACCCCCAACTTGGGGCCGGACCCCCCCCCCCCGTAACGGGCGCTACCCCCCCCCCAGTAAAAAAAACAAGCTCCTGTAAGGTCGCCACACAAGGGATCCTTTTTGTAAAGGCCGCTACGAAAGGATTTCATGTGTTCGGTAAATGGCACCCTATTAAAGCGACGGTCGCACATTGTCCGAACTTTGTTTTGTTGTCCTATGTGAATGCACAAGGTTTTCCTGTTTTTCCTGTTTTGCTCATTTACCTCTCAATTTAAACCCCATGGTAAGGCCGCTACAAAAGGAATCCCTTTGTCCAGGCTGCTACAAAAAGGTTCAAAGTATGGAGGCCATTGCGGATCCTCCACAATTCAAACTTGTCTGTAAGGTCGCCACACAAGGAATCATATTGTAAAGGCGTTGCACAAAGACCTTGGGAGAAGAAGGAACGGGAAGATGAAGAACAAAGAACGAAGACGACGAACATGCATGACGAGTAAACGGATGATCCATAGTGTTCCAATCGCCGAGAAACCTCAAACCATTTCGTTGTAATCGCACGAACGGCGGGTCCTCCCCCCCCCCCCCTCCTCTCCCCCCGTTTAAACTGGATTGGGACCTTGGGGGAAGGGGAAAGAGGGAGGGGGGCAGCCAAATGTCTCGCACGCCTTTTCACCCCCAGTAAGCGGGGTCGGCAGATTTTCACGACACCCATCGGACATTTCAAGAAACAGCGTGAATTTTGGTGGACTCCAAGTCGCGCTCAAAAGAAGCAAGAATCTGGACTGGACCCTGGGCGTCTTATCTTGGAGCCTCTCTTCTCCGTGGGAACGTTCGTATATCTTGACCTGGTCCTTGGAGTGAAGTCGACCTTCTGAACGTAAGATGTTCTGACCCTGAGCTGGGGTATACTCGAACAGGTCTGGGACCGCAGGTTTCCCAGCCTCCTCCTCCTCCACGCCCTCTTTCTCCCTTTCCTCCTCCTCCTCCTCCTCCTCCTCCTCCTCCTCCTCCTCCTCCTCCTCCTCCTCTTCCTCCTCCTCATCATCATCATCCGCCTCCTCCTCATCATCATCATCATCATCATCATCCTCCTCCTCATCATCATCATCCGCCTCCTCGTCCTCCTCCGCCTCCTCTTCCTCCGCCTCCTCCTCCTCCTCCTCCTCCTCCTCATCATCATCGTCCTCCTCCTCCTCCTCCTCCTCCTCCTCCAGCCAGGGCCGCGGTCCCGGTGCTGACCTCCGACCAGTACCGCGAGGCCACCGGCTCGGGCGCCCCCGCAGCGCTCGCGGCGGCGCCTGCGGCAGGACACGTCGTGCTGGCAGGCCACCCTCGCCACGGCTCGGTGTGCCCTCCTCCTCCTCCTCCTCCTCCTCCTCCTCCTCCTCCTCCTCCTCCTTCCTCTCTCCTCCTCCTCCTCCTCCTCCTCTCCTCCTCCTCCTCCTCTTCCTCCTTCCTCATCAATCATCATCCGCCTCCTCCCGCCTCCTCCTCCTCCCTCCTCCTCCTCCTCCTCCTCCTCCTCCGCCTCCTCCTCCTCCTCCTCCTCCTCCTCCTCCTCCTCCTCCTTTCTTTTTCGTCGAAAACCACCCCGTAGAAGGACAGGCCCTACTTAGACTTAGCACCAGGGACGCGGTGCGGGCCGTGCGGAGGGGGGCGGCCGCGGAGCGTGGGGGGGACTCCTCCGAGGGCCTGCCTCCTCCTCCTCCTCCTCCTCCTCCTCCTCCTCCTCCTCCTCCTCCTCCTCCTCCTCTCGGGTCGGGCGAAAGGGGGGGTTTGGGAAAGGGGGGGTTACGAAATCTGCTGCATGCAGCTGGTTTCGGCCCGACCGAGGGGCCCATTCCTCGATACATGGGCGCCTCCCGGCGCCGGGAGGCGCCGGGAAAATCAGCTACGCGAGCTGATTCTCAAACCCCCCCTTTGCTATCCCCCCCTTTCGCCCGACCCGAGCCACGGCTCGGTGTGCACGTACGGTAGGTTTGCGTCGTGTCGACCAGCTGCGACCCCAGCGCGGACGTTGAAGGTTGAACGCCGCCGGCGACCCAGAATCGATCGATGTTGAACGATCGGACGTTGCGGCAGCGGCCGATCGTTCAAGGTTGAACGATCCCTGCGGTGTCAAAAACCAACGCTGGGGTCGGCACGACACGAACCTGCCGTAGCGTTGAGGCGGGCCCGCCCCTCCACAGGAGGAAGATCCAGAAATTGTCAACAAATAGTCTGGGGACTCGTATTTCTTGAATTTTTTGGAGTACTTTTTTAATTTTCGTCGAAAGAACCCCTGTAAGGAGACACGCCCGACTTAAACGTGCACGCACACAATATTCATTCTAATTCTGCGAAGGTTCCTCGATTTTTGCTGGGGGCCAAGCTTCTCTCATCTCTAATGGTTCCATCCTGGGTCTCTTCCTGGCCACGGGGGGGCCATGGCACCAGGAGAAGCGAGCACAGTGAGAAATGAGCGCGATGATGCATGAACGACGTGCAGCGCCGGAGGGAGGAGAGGCGGCACCTCCCGAGAACCCGGAGGAGGAAGAGGTACCCATACCGCTAGCCTTCGCTCGTCTTCCCTCCTTGGACCTCCTGGGAGGCCCTCGCCGCCACCGCTGGATGCGCCTCGAAAGTCTGGTCAGAACGCGTCCCAGGATAGGGCCATTCCTGCATTTCCCCACCAGCCTGATTCAGTTTGGCCTGGCAATTTGGTGCATGTCGGTGGTGGTGGACCGCTTCCGACCTCCTGGCCCTCGCGCCCCCAGCTCACCGCAGCGCAGCTCGGCGGCTTAGGCAGCTCAGGTTTGGCCCCGCGCTCCAGTTTGCTGCTCGCTGTAAATTGGTAAGACCGCGCCCCGCCGCCTGCGCCTTCGCCTGCGGCCGCGGCCAAAGCAGTCCCCGGGTAGGTCCGGGGAGTAGCGGCATCGGTACCTCTTGCGTTCCCCAAGACCCCCTCGGGCCATGAGAAGATAGCGGCGGGATGGTTTTGTTTTCAAGTGTCGGCCACTGGGGCCCTCGCCAGGCCCCGTGGCGGTGAACAAAACTGCTTAGTCGTGGCAGGCCCAGAGGTTGACACCAACACCAAAATTGGCGGCGTGCCTCAGCCGAGGAGAGATGATCCCGATCTCGGCAATGGTGGTAATACTCTGGCTTCCGGAGCGGCCGAAATATTGCCACCGACGCCGAAATCTGTGATCCTCTTCCCCCGGTGGGCGCGCCCCCCCCCTGTTTTGGTGTTGGTGCCAATTTCGGAGCCTCCGAAGTCGGGGCGCAAGAGGCGGGGTCAATGCCAACGGGGGTCGGTCAGAGCGCCGGGCCTCGCAGGGTCGTGCGGAGCCAGGGCTGCGCTGGCAAGGAATAGCGCGCAGGCTCCCGCAGGACCTTGCAGGCTCTTGCAGGATTCTGCAAGGCCTGACTGGCCCGGGTCTGGATTGACCCGGTCAGAAGTCGGGGGCGGAAAAGAGGGGGGTGATGACTAGGGACTAGGGGAGGGTAGATATCATGGCGTCGGCCATGATATTCCCCCAGATTTCATGGCGCCTCTTCTTGTTTCATTACGTTCCTGGCCCCCCCGCTGGGCCGCGCACATGCCGCCAGTCATGATTTGCAACCCCCCCTCTTGGACACCCCCCTCTTGGCCGCTCCCGAAGAAGATCCCAGACTCAGGATAGAAAGCCAGTCCCGGGGAGACTGTCGCGAGAGTCGGGACCTACAGTGGCGTGCGTTCTGTGACAAGAGTCATGCAGTCTTAGTAACTCTGGATCCGCCACCAGGGGGGCCACCTCCTACGGGTTATAGTCCGCGACGTCTCCCCGAGCCGGATATGATCTTGGATGCCTCAAGCGAGGGGGGGGTCCCCTCCCTGGAGTGCCGCGCTGGTGGCGGTGGTGACGCCCCTCCTTTTTCCTAGTAGTCGGGGCAGCGCTGAGTCGAAGAAAACACTTTTGTGATCCGCGGGTCGAGAGCGCACCTCTTCCGGTCGAAGCTAAGCGGGCCGCGCGAAGCTTGAGTTAACAAAGAGGGGGGACAGAAGGAGCGCGGCCTCACGGCAAGGCCAGGGGGGAGGCAAAGCCTCGGGATCAGGCGGTGCCGAAGATGACGTGCTTGCAAAGGAACGCCTTGTACAGGAACCCTGTGGCAAAAACACGTGCAGAAACACGGCCTGGCGAGGGTCCGCGCGGATGCCTTGGACCTGCGCCGGCCCCCTTGGCGGCTCCTCTGGCGCCGCCCCTGGCGCGCTCCTCGCGCCAGGCTCGGCATCGCTCGGACGTGTGCATTTTTCCTTCGTCGAGGACCATCGAGGAGCATCCTTGATAATTTGGCGAACTAAAACCACGCACGAAACCGAAAAAAACACAGGGAATGGACGTCCGAGCGATGGCCAGAGGAGCCAGGAAGGGTCGCAGGCGATTTTTCACCGGGCGCGCGCAGACGTCCGAGGAGCACACGTTTGCCTCCCGATGTAGGGTGTCGCGGGTCCCCCGCGCCTGATCCAGGCCATCTGCGAGTAGTTCTTTTGCGAGCAGTGGGGCGCTTTTGTCTCACTTTTCTCCCCCAGCCCCCGAGTTCGGCCGAAAAGTTTGGCCGCTCTAGAAGAAGTGGGAACCCCTGGGATACACCCCAATAGGGGATATTCGGATGCACCCCATATCGGGGATGGACGCCCCACAATCGTATAGTCCATTCGAAGACCCCACGAAGCCTGGGATGGGGGTCGACACATTCCCTTCTAAAGACGGGGGGTCCAGCGCAGATCCATGAAATCAGAGGCTCTGCTTACGTTGCATGTCCCTCCTCTACTGACGGGCTTTGGCGGATCCCCTCTGGCTGACCCACGCCTGGGGACCACGTGGAGCCGACCACTCCACCTCCCTCCGCCGGCACCTCGTGGCCGGCCTGGGGTCACGACGTGCCCCTCTGCGACTCCAGCGGCTCCTGCCAGCCATGCCGCCGCTCGGGGAGACGTGCAGATGGGGTAGCCCCACCTGCAAGTTCCCCCCAGCCGCACAAGGGGGTCTGCGTACCTGCTGGGACCCCCCCTTGTGCGGCTCGGGGGGGCCACGTGTGCGGCTGGGTCTGAGCCCGACCTGGCCCAGTACTGGCAGCTGCCCAGCGGAGTCATGCCCGCGTCGTCACAAACATCACGACGGAAGGTGGTTTGCCCTTTCTTCCTCCTGCTCCTCCTCCTCGCTCCTCCTCCTCCTCGCTTCTCCTCCTCCTCGCTCCTCCTCCTCCTCCTCCTCCTCCTCCTCCTCCTCCTCCTCCTCCTCCTCCTCCTCCTGGCTCTTCCTCCTCCTCTTCCTGCTCCTCCTCCCCCGACCTGCCCTGAGGACCTCTGTGCGCAGCGGCCGCTGCTGGCCAGGCGGTCTCCGAGGCCGCGGAGGACGCCGCGGGGGCCGTGGCGTTCTCTGCGCAGGCCCGCCGGTCGGGGCCGTGCAGCAGCGACTCGGACCTGTGGCGCCTTGCGGCGCCCGGGCGAGGCGGGGAGCGCGGCCGCAGGCGTGTCCGCCATGAAGCAAGCGTGGTCGTAAGCGGAGCGGGTCCTGGAGGTGCTGGGGGCCCGTCCTCGAGCTCCCCGGGGCCCTCCCCCAGGCCCCGAGACCGTCGGGCAGCGGCTCAGGACGAGAAGTCGAGTCTGGGGGAAGGCCACGGGGTCCAGGACCCGCCTCCCCCAGGCCCCGCGCGCCGCCCCGGCGCAGCCGCGCCGTGGCCCCCCCCCCCTGCGGAGGAGCAGGAGGAGGAGGAGGAGGAGGAGGAGGAGGAGGAGGAGGAGGTTCGAGGTTCGAGCTTGCTTCTTGGCAAGGCTGCTGCAGCACGGCTTCGCGTGGGCCCGCGGCGTGCACGAGGCGGCGGCCCTGGCGGTGCACGGCCTCGGCCTCTGGGACTTCGTGGCCCTGCACGCGCGCGACGTGGGCGGCGCGCGCGTGCCCGCCGACGTCACGCTGGCGCGGTGGGTCGGGTACCTGCAGCCCGGCTCCACGCTGTACGTTGCGGGCGAGGCTGCGGGGACCTTCGCAGGCAAGGGTGGCCCGCTCAACGTGACCGTCGTCACGTGGGAGGACCTGAAGCTTGACGTGTCCTCGGCGGCAAGGGAGCCGGTGGAGGAGCTCATCTGTGCTTATGCGCGCGTGTTCGTGGGCGCCAGCCAGCCGGCGGGATTCACGGGGCGTGTGCGTCGCCTGCGGAAGGAGAGGCGGGCGCCTACGACGGTGGCGCTGCACCACCAGGACATGACACACACACACACACACACACGCACGCAAGCACATTCACACACACACACATACGCACACACACATACACATACGCACACACACACACACACGCACACACACAAACACACACACACACAGGTACGCACACATAAACACACGGGCACAGAGCGCACATCCACCCACCCTTTGCACCCTGGCGGGCTGACGCGGCACCACATGTCGTCCCCCCCGCACGCACACGCTCTCACCCCCCTCGCCCCACACACTCTCGCACCCCCACTGCCCCACGCATGCTCGCACTCCTGAGGGTTGGTGGGCCGTGTCCTGGGGCGGCCTTCAGAGGCCCACTGCATGCGCGGCTTGTTTCTCCGTCCAGCCATCCCTGGGATCCGCCGTTGCAGCGCAAGTGCAACCTTGCGAAGAAACATGACTGGAGCCCTGGGCCCAATCTTTCAGCCGCATGTTTCTAGCCGGGTCGAGCCGTGTTGGCCCCTGGGCCCGAAACTGAGCGAGAAAGCCCGGTGCGACAAAAGAACGCCTGGACCTCGGGGGTTTTATGTTGCAGGATGTGGAGGGGCAGCCCTGGGACAGCCTCGAGCCGAACAGGGTGGCGGCGGAGCTGTCGATCTGGCGGCAGGCTGGCGGGAGCGAGAGCGGGGAGGTCGAGGCCACGGAGTTGCTGGAACTGCGGCGCGCGCAGTTGGGAGACGGGAGCACCGTGGAGGTGGACGAGGACTGTCGGCGGTCTCGAGCCCATCGGCCAATGGGCGTGCAGTCAAGCCGCATAGGAAGGATGAGCGACTTTCCAAGGTTACCCTTGCAATCCCTCCCCTTCGGCCCGATCTTGGCCGCTTTCGCTGGCCACGCTCCGCTCGAAAAGTGTCGACATAGCCTTCTAAGGCCCTTGCGTCCTTGTCGGGCATTCTGATTCTACGGGTCGACTGTACTTCTGGGCCTCCTACATGGGGTCGGATTGGGTGGGGTCGGAGGACCCCGCCGCATCGCCGATGCAACGACGATGCGGCTCGATGTGGAGCCCGATAATCCCCACGCCGACGTCACGGATGAATCGCCGATGCATCGGCGACGCGCCCAGGCCCTTCAATACGACGGGGCGGCGTCATGAGGGCCGACGCACGCTACTGGCGGAGGTGAACGAGGGAAACATACACATTGGGCTAGCGCGCGTCCTGAGGATCATCAGCACGTATATCCAGCTTCCTGGTATGATAACGCCGACGAGGGCACCAGTGAACGGGTAACACCGCCGACGATGCACGGAGCTGAGGGATGCACCATGGTCCCAATTCTTTCTGCGCTCATCCTGATGGCCGACCTTGGCTGTCCTCGCTGATGCCTGGGTGTCGGGCTAACAGCCACAACAATGACCGCAATGCCCTTGTCATCACCTGCGCAAGAGCGTGTCCAACATCAACAGTGCCCTCAGCTGTGGGCACGATCCGCCGACCCTATCTGCTCGGACCCCGTGCAGGAGGGTTTTATACGGTAGATTCGCGTCGAGTAGGTTGGCGGTGACCCCAGCGTTCAACGATGAACGCCGCCAGGGGGCCCAGAATCGGTCGATGTTGAGCGATCTGACGTTTCGGAAACGACCGATCGTTCAAGGTTGAACGATCTCCGCGGTGTCAGAAACCAACGCCGCAGTCCGCACGACACGACCCTGCCGTAGATATTCTTGGACCCCCAGATTCCAACCTTAGATGCCTCCTAGGTGGGGTCGGGGCAGACGGGGTCGGAGGATCGGGCCGCACCGCCGATACAGCGGCGATGCATCGGCGATGCATCGTCGACGTGGGCGATGCATCGGCGACGTCGACGTGAAGTGAGAACATCCTACTTGGGCATGTTCTGACGCCGCGGCGGCGTGCCACAGACCGTTGGGGTCACCCTGCCCCCCCCCCCCCTGGGCTCAGAGAACTCGCGCTTAGGGCCCTCGCGATGCAGCGTTGTTTCGATTTCCGAGCATATGGAACAATGGATTTCCAAACCCCAATGCACGTCCAACGCCTTCCTACTTCAATGGCGATGGCGTCTCGCCTTGCCCGCCCAATGCCCTGCAAGGGGGAAATAAGAGGAAGGGGGGGAAGGGGGGGCATATCATAATGAAAGGAAGGAGGTAGGGGCGAACAGAGCGAGAAGAGGAGGAGACGGGAGTAGGGAGGGAACGATGCTCAGGCAGACGCTGCGCCAGCCATTTTGGCTGAGGGGGGGCGGCCCTGGCGCGCGCAGGGCGCTGCGGGAGGCGAGGAGGGAAGGGGGCACGGTCGGGGAAGGGGGTGGGGATGAGACGGGGGGAGGCAGGAGGTAAGGAAGGGGCGCGGGGCGGGTGGGCCAGCGGGGAGGCGGGGGAAGGAGGGGGCAGAGGAGCGGGGGAGGAGCGGGGGACCAATACTAAGGATTCCATGTGTTTTGAAAAAAAGGCCACTCGTGCATCCTTCAACGACCCGCCAACCAACACATGAGACATGATGTTTCATGTGCTGGTTGGCGCTGTCGTGCGGCGCCTGGATGGGCCATCCAGGCGAATCCAAGGGTCTTGTATCTTAAATCGTTTCGCGAATCCTTAGTGTTGGTTGGTGTGGCTGTAGGTGGCCGCGCGGGCGCGGCCGCCATTGGAGCTGCTGTTTTTTTCAGCGGCCGCTGCCAGGCGCGGTGCCCGCCCGTGCGCCGCGTCGCGCACCGCGTCGCGATCGTCGTTCGTAGTCGCCGATCGTTCTCTCTGTCACAACGACACAGCGAGAACGATCGGCGACGACGAACGACGATCGACGATGGAGGACCGACGACGAGCAACTACCGTCATGTGCGGATCGACGATGGAGGATCGACGATGGACGATCGACGATGTCGAGCAACTATCGGCAACGACGATCGACGATGGAGGATCGACGACGACGAGAAGACGATCGACGACGAACGGACAACGAACGACGACGGTCGACGGCCGAGGGCGGTTTACGACGACAGTCGACGACGAACGACGACGATCGACGACGGGCACCCGACGTTGATCGAGGACGATGTGGTCGTCGATGGACGATCGAAGACGATCGACTATTCTCCCTCCCTGCCCCTTCCAGCTCGGCGCCGCTGCTCTGCGGGCCTCCCCCGACCCTTCCCTCTTCCTTCGCCCCGCGGCTGCGAGCCCTTTCGAGGCTCAGGGCTCAGGGGCCGCCGGCGGAGCCCTCGGCGGCGGCGCGCCTCGCGGGGCCCCCCCCCCGCGCGCGCCCCGCAGGGAAACGCGGCGGCCAACGTGGATGAGGAGGATGGGGGAAGGAGGAGTCTGAAGAGAAGGGGGGGGGTGGACAGGCTCCTGCCAGTGGACAAGGAGATCGTAGGACGTAGGATTGATGTGGATGGAGGAGGTGGTGGAGTTGGACGTGGAGATGCCCTCTGCCCTCGCCCCTCTCCCACTGGAACTCTTCCACCTCCAACTCCACCTCCAATGCCGACCCCGCCTCCGCCTCCACCTTTGCCTCCGCGTTTCCACGCGGGGCGCCATGCAGATCGGTTGAGAGGCCCATCTTTTTTTCGGTTGCAGCGCCATGCAGCAGCCGAGGCGGGGCCGACGGGATGCGAAACGGCCCCCGCCCCCATCTGCGCGAAGATGGTCGCGCCTCGCGCGTCGCAGCCCAGGCTGGAGAGCTGCCTCTATCAGAGGCGGTCTTGCGGGGGCGCGAATAGATAGCAGCGGGTTGCGCGACTCTGGGTGGCCGACGAGCCGACCCGTATAATCCCAACGTCATTTCGCCTCCCTGCCCCATCGCCGACCTTCCGAAGGATGGGCGGCGACGGGGGGGCGGGGGGGTGGCGGGGGGCGGGGGGGGGAGAAGCGGGAAACAAGGAAAAAAGGGGCATCGTGAATGGGGGGCAAGTGCAGGAGGAGAGCCCACCCCTTTCGCGTCGGCCCAGGCTGCCCGACGACATGGTCGTGGTGCCAGTGTTCTTCAACCTCGTGCTGCCGCGCCACGTCGTGACCGCGTGGCGCGAGCGGGTGCGCGCCCAGCAGCGGCAGCAGCAGCAGCAGCAGCAACAGCAACAACGGCCCGCAGAGGAGCGCGGGGATAAGACGGGATACCTCCTCCTCCTGCACCTCTTCCTCTCCTCTCCCTGTTCCACCCTCTCTTCCTGGCTCCTCTTCCTGGTTTCTTCCTCGTCCACCCCTCTGCCCTCCCCCCTTCCCCGCCGTTCGTCTGTTCGTTCACTCGGCCCTTGTCCTCCCATTGCCGCCTCCTCCCTTCCCCCGCCCCCTTGCTGCCCCTTGCTCGTTTCTCGCCGTTCCCTTCCCTAAGCTGCATCGCGTTTCCTCGCCCAACCCTCTGCCCGCCCCGTTCGCCGCCCCTCGTCGCCATTTACCCTCCCTGCTCCCTCCCTTCCACTGCCGTCGCATTTCGCCATTCCTCTTCCACCTTTCCATGTGTATTCCGCGTCCGCCCATCAGCTGTTCCCCCCTCTCATCGCCCCTCGCTCCGTGCCCCTCGATCTTCCCGCCGCCGCCGCCCTCCCCGGCCCAGCCCCCCCTCTCCTCTTCGATGGGGGAGGGGGCGGGGCGGGAGTGCGGGGGTGCGTCGAGTGGCGCATTCGACGTAGCCGAGTGAATGCACTAGCAACGCCCTCAGAACTTCAGGTCGAGGTCGGCGGGGGCCCTGGGGGCATCTGAGAATTCCATGTTCCGCGGCCCCGTGGACTCCATGGGCCATGGGTCTGTGAGATGCAGAATTCTCAGACACCGTAACAAACGTGAGAATTTAACTGCACGCTGATTGGGCGTGCGAAACAAACGCGGCCGAGGACTGGGCCCAGGACGGGGGGCGCTGCGCCGCGTTGCATCCGAGCCCAGCAGGACCTCAGCGGCAACGCAGCACCGCGCACGCCAGATGATCTACTTGGACACTTTCACCTGGGGCGGCAGCAGCAGCAGCAGCAGCAGCAGCAAGCGCAGGCAGCACCGCTGCAGCTTGCACAGCACGACGATGACAGCAGCAGCCGCAGCCGCAGCCGCAGCAGGCGCAGGGACCGCAGGGAGTCCATGCTGTCCAACGCCTCCAACGCCAGCGCGGCCGACGCCAGCGCCGCGGGCCCAAGGACATGGGTGCTCTGTGCACACGTTGCAACATTGATCAGTAAAGGGGGCACCGCCCTCTGCCTCATGCCCAACCCCACCCCGCCCCGTCCCCCATTCCCTGCTGAGGCCCTGGGGAGGAGATAGGGTGGAAAGATGGGGGAGGAGGCGTCATCCTCCCCCCCTTCCCCTCCCCCCGCGCGGGTGTCTCCTCGCCTCGCCCCCTCCATCCTCTTCCCCTCTTCGCGACTCCCAGATCGTCCTCGTCAGGCCTCATCCTCATCCTCTTTCTGCTCATTCTGCATGGTCCTTCGGAGGAGGCAGAGGGCGCGCGCAGCCTCTGGCCCACCGCCCCCCCCCCCATCTCTGCATATCTATCTGCACCCTTTTCCAGGGCGTCGTCTGGCTCGGCGGGTTCCGCGAGCGGCCAGCCCGAACCCGTCGCCGTCGCCTCGCCCGTCGACCCCATCGCGAACATTCGCGCCTACGAGAGGATTGACAGGAAGTGGGTGCTCACGCGGTGGGAGTACGACAAGGTCGAGGTGAACTGGGATATGGTGCCGATCGACTTCATGGATGACCTGAAGGACGCGGCGGAGGAAAGGATGAGGCGCGAAGGAGGGCAGGGGAGCAAGGGCGAAGGAAGAGGAGTTGAGGAGGTAGGAAAGAGGAGGATGTTGGGTAATGTGTGGAGGAGGCCACTCCCTCCGCGCCCTCCACCCCCTCGCCGCGAGCCCTCGTCGCCCTTCTCGTCGCCGTCGTCGCCCGCGCCCCCCTGCATCCTCTTCCTGTGGCCTGGGCCTCGAACCGTAGACATCGTCAGCCCAAGGAGCTCATCCCGACGGCTGTGGAGGAGATCAACAACGGCGGGCTTCTCGACGCTCTGGACATCTTCAGTGGTTGCGAGGCGTTCAGCCAGACGTGTGCCAGGGCAGGCCTCAAGGTTGCAGGCGTGGACAAGCTGAACGGGCCAGGCGAGGACGTGCTGACTGCGGCGGGCAGGAAGCGGTTCACGGGGTCGGGGCACGTGGTATCATATCTATGTTCTTTTTTGTTTCGTCTCGTCCTCCTGCCCGTCTCCCTTCCGCCAGCCCCGCCTGCCCGCCCCCTTCTTAGAGGGCACTTGTTTCGCCGGGAATTCTTCCCTCGGCGATCTCGCCGGCCTGCCTGAGCTTTGCCTTCCCCTTCCACTGGGGGGGGAGGGGGGTAGGTTGGAACCCAAGGGATGGGGAGATATGAGATCGCCCCATTCCTTGGGGCTCTGGTATGCCCCTCTGGGGAGGCTCATCATGCTGGCCCTCCTTGTCAAAGATCTCGGGGTCGTTCTGGTGGGGCCGCCGTGCAAGTTCTGGATCTTCCTCACGCTCGGACTCACCAAGCGGAGCGCCCTCAATCCTGCAGGCGACGCCACGAACGCGTTCGCCAGGGAGGGCAACGCCATCGCCGATGCGGTCGCCAATTTCGTCCAGCTCGTGAAGGCTTCACCTCTCGCGCCTTTGTCACCGCCCCCCCCCCACCTGCTACCCTGCTACCTTCCTTCCACTTCCTTCTCCTTCCTTATCTGCTCCCATATCCTCCTCTTTTCTCTCCTCGGGTCTTGGTCTCGGCGGCTCTGGCCTCAATCGCCCGATCGCACCCTCCATCTGCCCCTTGCCCCCTCGCCTGGCATGTCGGTCCGTCGCATTTCGCCCTGGACTTCTCGCTTGGGCCCTTCCCCCAGCGTCTCGGGGCGGGCGGGGGGCGCGCGCGGGCGAGAGGCCTTGCAGAAGCGCGTGGTGATCGTGATCGAGCAGCCAGCCAGCTCCTGGTTCTTCAAGTACCAGCCCATGGTGACGGTGCTGGCCAAGCACGCCTTTCAAAGGGCGGGGGCTGGGAAGGGAGGGGCGACCGACGTCGACGGCGATGGGCGACGGCGACGACGGCCGCGACGACGCGACGGCAACGCGCGGAGCTGCAGGGCAGACGACGACGACGACGGCGACGACCGACGCGACTTGCGACGACGATGACCTCGACGGACGACGACCCACGAACGACAGCGACTATTGACAGCGACGGCGGCGACAGACGACGCGTGCAACGGCGACGACCACAACGGACCGACGGATGGCGGGCAATGATGAGGATGGGGGAGGAATTGGAATAGAGGATGAGAAGGGGAGGGAGGAACACTAGGAGGATGAGAGATGGATGATGGCTAGGATGAAGCAGCAATGCAAGGATGATGGAAAGGGGGTTTGTGACAATGGTCCATGGTTAGGCTAGTATCTTCTCCAGCACTGAGATAAAGGGCAGATTGGGCGCGGCCCTAAATCGGCGCAAATGGCGCGATGACATTCGCGCCTCGCGCGTCGCGGCCCACGCAGGGACATCAGCCCTTCCCCCAGGCGACCTCGCGCTGCGCGAAGATAACAGCGCGTCGCGCATCGTCGGGCGCGACGCGAGAAGGTAAGTGACATGGGGCTTGCGAGGTGTGTTCGAAGTTGAGGAAGGCGGTAGCAACTGAGCAGTGTGGATGGGTCGGGAGATCTCCTTCTGCATGGCAGCGTTCGGCCACTCGTCCATGAAGCCCACGGTCTGCTGGACGGACGCGCCGTGGGCCAAGCAGTTCGAGAGGGCCGCCAAGCAGATGATCAGCCAGATCAAGAAGGAGGAGAAGGACCAGAAGGAACGCTTGTACAGGGTGTCTGGCGCGCGGCGGCAGTGGACGAGCGGCAACAAGGCGACCCCCGCGAGCCAGGCGTGCCCCGTGAAGTTCTGCGAGAAGGTGCTGTCGATGCACGTGTGGTGGCGTTGCAGGGTCATCAGCGAGGCCCTCATCGTCAAGGAATTGTGCTTGAACGGGGTTTTCGGCGAGCGCTCGGCCACGGTCGTGGCCCACATCCTCGGCTTCCTCTGAACGAGGGGGGGCCAACGTGTGAATAGAATATACGCGGCAGCGACCGTAACCAGTTCCGTTGTCCCTTGCGGCCGGTGGCCAGGGCTGATGGTGCAAGCGGACCAGCAGGGGCTGCGCGCAATCATCAGCCCCTTGAGGCTCAACAGAGGGACGGCGGTAATTGATTGCATTCGCTGCCGCAGGACTTTGCACGCTGAAATGCTGCGAGCGCGTTTAGAGGGAGACCTCGCGGCAGCGTGACGGGGCTCCCACGGCGCCGCGCCAACGGCGCCATAGGAGGAACACAGCAGGAGCCTCTCGCCAGGCTCGTCAGGCGACTGACAATGGCCGACGGCAGCGGCTTACATGGCAACGCAACGGCATCGGCCACGGCAGCGGCAATTGGCGACGACCACGGCACAACAAGCCACGGCCATTGGCAACGGCAGTTGGCAGCGGCAACGGCAACAGCACGGCCGATGTAACGGCCGCGGCCACGGCAACGGTAATGACTTGGTAAGGTAGCGGCCGCAGCAATGGTAAGGTGTCTGGCAATTGGCAACGGCAGCGGCTTGGCGACGACGACTGCGATGGCGGCAACGACAAGGCCATCCTCACGGTCCCCCTCCTGCTGCCTTCCCTCCAGCTCTTCATGCTCGTCTTCATCTTCGCGCTGCTGCCCGACCTCCCCTGACTTACGCCACCTCCTCAATTCCTGCTCGCCTGCCATCCTCCTCGCCGCTGCGTCCGCCTCCTCGCCCAGAATCCCCCTGGCCCTCCTGCTCCCATGTGCTTCCCTCTCTTCTCCCTCTGTCTTGATGTCTTGCTGTCTTTGAGATGTCTTGATGTCTTTGTATGTGCTGTCGCCCATGCGGTAGTAGTCGCCCTCTTCGTCGCCTGTCGTCGTCGGCGTCCACCCTCGCTCATTGCCTGTCGCATGTCGCATGTCTCCTGTCGTCGTCGCCCGTCGTCCTCAGCCCGTCGTCCAACGTCTGGCTTGCTCCTCCCCCGCCGCCCCGCCACCTCAACTTCCGCCCGCGCGAGGCGCGGGGGCGCGCTTGGCCTGGGCCCTGTCCGCGCAGCTGGCGGAGCAGAGCAGGCGCCTTGCGGCCTTGCGGCAGCGCGGCAGCGGTCCCGCTGTCGCCCGTCGTCGTCCATTCCCACCTTCGAAGCGTCCTTCGCACCTCCCTCTCTCTTCTCATCCTTCCATCCCGTTCGCCTTCTTCCTCATCGGCCCTATCTTGCTTCTCCTCGCTGTCCTCCCCCGCGTTCTCCAGTTCTAACGTTCCTAACGTTCCTCCTCCTCCTCCTCTTCTCCTCCTCCTTCCCCCCCTCTTCCTCCTCCTCCTCTTTTTCCTCCCCTTCTCTCTCCTCCCTGTCCTACGTCTTAAGTCCTACTCTTCGTCGTCCCCCTCTCTCTCTCTTTACTTAAACATTGTTGTTGACGACCCCGCAGGTCGAGCAACTGGAATGGATTTTGGCAGGCACAAGGCCCATGCAGCTTGGACCGACATGTGCCAAGTTGCGCGCGACCGCAAACTTGGGCGCTTCCTGGCCAAGGGGAGGCTCAGACACGTGGACGTCTGCCACATGATCCTGGCGACGTTCGGAGCTAGTGGAGATGACGCGCCAGGCTTATCAGTTCGTAGATTCGCAAGACAATTCAGAAGCTATTTATCAGAGCACCCTGAGCTCGGGGATTCCTACGACTCCACCACGGTGAGCCTCAGCATTTTGCCCCAGGTGGTGAAGCACTGGTGCCGCGTGGACATTCGAGAGTCTGACGTGGCCGAACTCGCCACCGAGCTGTCGCCTAAGCCCCCGTGCGCGCCTGATGGCCCTGCACCGATGGGGAGGAGGCGAGCTGTACGGAAGGCCAACGCCTTGGCAACGTTGGCCCCCCTCCCCGACATGTTCGGCGCCGCGGTGCCGGACGCAGGTGCCGAGCATGGTGAGCTACCGACGCCGCTGGCAGATGTGCATACCTACAGCCAGATGGTGAGCGTAGTCCCTCAGCCAGCTGATTCAGTCGTGCCCCTGGAGCTCCTTCGATATGCTGAATATACGCATGTGGACCTGCAGATGATGCTGTCCCGTCGTGATCGCGAGCTCGAGGCCATGAAGGCCGAATGCGCAGACCTGCAGCGGAGCCGAGCATACTATATGAATCGGACTCAGGAGTTGCTGCAGGTTACCAAAGACATGACACACGACTACCATCGCCTTCGAGACCAGCTTGACTTCAGACCAGGGGCCAAGAACATGTCGCCCTTTGGCGGCTACACCATTGCCCTTGGCCGCAACGCAGGTCACGCTAGCGCCTCGTCTGCCCTTGCGATGTTGGCGGGGTCCGAGGACAGGGGCGGCTTCCGATCTTACAACAGCGTTGTCAGGTATGAGCACAGGGCGGCGCTCGGACAGAAAATACTGCTCAAGATTTGCTACAACGAATTCCAGGCGAGTGCTGACATGGAAGTGCACTGCTTCAAGTTCGACGCGACGAACAGCGAGGCTCTGGAGAAAAAGCAAGATTCACACGCAGCTGCTGACGTCTTGGGCATGTCGGTCTGAATCATTGCCAGCCGCAGGAACTGCCAGCACTTTCGAGTCGTTCGCCCCCGTCATCTCCTCGGCCAGCAGTTGTCCAGATCTTCAAACAGTACATTTTGGCACTGGCGCAGAGACATACATGTTAGGATTGAAGGGGCTATATTCAGTGGGCTGCCCAGACTGGGAACAACGAGCCACCGAAGCCGAGACGGACCAGCGACGCTTCTCGGTGTACGTGTTTGGCACAGACGCGGGCCCCGACAACGTGGCCATGGGGGGGATGGTCAGGACGCGCCTTGCACGCGTGAACACGGTTGCTTTCACCATGACGTTCTGTTTCCTTCACCAGTGCCATCTTGCAGTCTTGACCATGCTGTCCATACTAGATGCGTTTGCATGGTTGACCCCCGTGGGCGATGGCAGCCAAGAAGAAGCTTGTGGACCAGCAGGGCTGTGCGGGCTGAACACAAAATATTTTGCTGCAGTGGCGACCGTGGCCAACGTGTGGAGGGGCCCTGGAGTTTCGAAGAGGATGCGAGCTGCTGCGAGGTCGTTATACACTGCTCAGGTTGCAAATGATTATTTCGGGCGGGTACCAGGCAGAGTGATTCGTGGGAGATGGGGCGCCATCGATGCAGTCGAGGCCCTCATCGTGGCAGGTGCTCCTTTCATTGGTCCAGTCTTTGCCGAGGTGTTTCCTCCAGCTGCTGCTGACGCGAAGAAGCCCTCTGTGAAGGTCGGCTCCGCGGAGGACGTGCAGTATCGTGAAGAACAGAAAAAGTACAAGCGCAACGCTGTTGGATTTACTGGGTCGTCCTTGTTCCATGTTGTTGTCCTCATCTCCAGCGTTGCCAAGCAGCCGCTGACGCACTTCCTGCATTGGGTTCAGAAGGCTACCAAAGACTACAATGATGCAGTGAGGAAAGCGCGCGCGGCTGACCAGCGCGCGCCGTACCTGGGCCCCACGCCACTCAGCCAACTTACCACTGGCAAGGCTGCAGATATTGCTGAGGAGATCTCCAACTTGTTGGCCAGTGCAACGGAGAAAGACCACCACTACTGGGGCTCGTTGTGGGGGAAGCTTCAGACACCTCGGCTGCAACAACAAGCCCGCAGTCTCATCGTGCATTTGGTCCTGGCAGAAGCTTGCTCCTGGAAGCATCGTGTTATCGGTCGCCTGGGCGGGTTTCCATACCAGCTGTTCCATCTCGTGCGCGAGGACGCCAACAAGCCTTGCGACCACAGGAAACGCGTCGCGGCCCTCCTCCTGGCCTCGAACGAGTGCTGCCTCACCCTGCCGTTCGACGACTTCACGTTGAAGCTGAAGCGGAACTTCGAGGCGGAACTCCGCGCTGCGTCACATTCTGGGCGTTGCCCGCCTCGCTTGTTCGCCGTCGTCATCATGTATCGAGCGGCGATGCCGCTCGATACGCAGGAGGTGGAGGGGATGAACAGCATTTTGAAAGTTATGTCAGAGAGAGCTCCCTACCTCAAGATTCCCTTAGCATCGGCGCGGATGTCGCTGAAAAAAGGTGAGCCTTCTACGCCAGGCGTGTTCGCCGACATGCACCGACAAATCATGGCAGAGGCCAAGAAGGCCGAGCACTCGGACATCGTGCGCTTCGACGCCGTCGACGTGCGCAACGCCCCGACCATCGCCCAGCCCGCGTTGTGCCCCCACCAGACTCCACGGGATCTCGCGAGTCGGCTCGCTTACGCGTTGGATGGTTACAAGCAGATCAACACCTCTGCGACTCATGTGGTATCTTGGGGGCCAGGTGTTGCTGTTGCGTTCCTCGCGCCATGGAGCTACGGGAGGTGCTTATGGACAGCAGCATGTGATGTGATGACGGTTGCTGGGCTGCGGTCGTTCAAGTTGCGCATCCCCTTGGAGGTTCAGCCGTTGCACGAGGCGCTTCGGTTTGCGCCTGCCACCGCAGCGCCAGCTGACGGCGGCCGACGGAAGCGCTGCCCTGTGATCACAGTTACTGAGGAGGAAATCATTTGGAAGACTTTGGATTTGGCGCAAGAAGCGGACGCCCCGCTGAAGACGATCATCCTGTCCAGGTCAGCTGCGAAGAAGACCGATTCACGCAAATCTCGGAGACATGTCGGCCGTCCAGACGGAACAGCATCATCATCATCAGCATCTGGCGCGCTGCCCTTGCCAGGCAGCGAGGGGGAGCTGGGCGAGTCAGACGAGGACGCCGACTACGATGCGGAGGTCGTCGCCGAGCTCTATGGGGAGCTGAACGCCGATGCGGACGACGAGGCCGACGGCGATGCTGCGGCGACAGCAGTGGATCCAGGCGGTCACGAGTTGGAGCATGCAACTGACCATTTGCTGGACGAGCAAGGGCACGAGGATTTGCGCTGCGAGGACCCCGCTGGTGATGCAGATGACGACAGCGCCGCAGACGCACAGGACGAGGGTGCCACAGACGTTGAGAATCCGTCCGGCAGCGTCCTGCCCCAGGTCGACATGGCAACCTTGCGGGAAAGGCACGCGCTCGCGGTGAGGTCGGTTCAGGAAGCGCAGCGCTTGCAGAGAGACCAGACAGAGGACATGCACCCGCTCCTGCCTGGCGTGATATCCCTTGTGCGCATGCGTGAGACTGACGAGGTCATCTTCGTCAGGTGGGCCAAGGACGTCGGCGTGTGTCGCCCGCTCGCCCTCGATGCTCGTGGGGGCATCATCTACATCATTGGCTACGTGGTGCCGACGATGCAAATGACAGACATGCCTCACGATGTGCTCATCCGCGACACAGGCGCCATAATGTTGAAGGTGCGTGCGCACGAGCGGCCTCGCATGCCCGAGTGGTGTCTGACAGTGCAGAAGTACTATCGTGCTACCATCCACCCTGGTCCACAGCAGCCAGGCGCAATGGAGTGTTCTTGGTGCCTGTCCAGCGTTCCTCCAGAAGGCGTCCGAGGCGCAGGTGGCGACATGATGGTCTGCGCCACGTGCCTCTTGCCGTGGCACTTGGCCTGCGGTGCTTCCTTCGCCGAAGAACCAGAAGATGTTTTCCAGTGCCGCCTCTGCGTTGATGGTGGCGGCGCCGTGCCGTAGAGTGGCTCGGCGAGCCCGCGGGGCCCTTGTGGCCGTTTGCTGCAAGGCGAGCGGGTGCATGCTCAGTTGCATGAAGGTCAATGAACATTCACTTTTTTGTGTTTTGCACGTCGTCCTTGACGTTATCCTTGGGCTGGCCAACCACTACTGGCGCTGCAGCGGCGCCCGGCGACGAGGCCGCCGTCTTCAACCCCCACGACATTATCGTTGCAGGGGAGGAGCTGTCGTCGGGCGAGTGCGTGGGCGACGTGGCGCTGCTGACACTGCTGACCCCCATGTGCTCAGAAGGCGACCGCGACATTCAAACTGCGCATGCGCGTTTGAGAGCACACACATGCCGTGGTGGCACGATGCAGTATGTCAGGTGCGCGGCACGCGCGCGCGCTGATGAAGGCACGGGCGAATGAGCGCAACGCGCGCGCCGCTTGCCAGGGCGCGCGCGCTGCACCCTCCAACGCAACCGCGCGCGTGCACGCCACGGCGGGTGCACATTGCGTGCAATAGCACATCGTGGGCGCGCGGTGTGTTGTGCGTGCGCGTGGGCGCACGCACAGTGTTTTGCGTTGCCCCAGGCCTCGGCGCAAACGCGGCGCTTCGCGTCGCTGCCAGAGGCAGCAAATGCAATAGCGTTCTGATCTGGCCAATTGCGCCGCGCGCGCCCGCGGCGCCGAGGCGCGTCCATAGCGCGTGCTCGGGGCATTGCGCGCTCGCATGGCATGGGCCAGCGGGCCCAACAACATACGTGGCAAATGGGCCTACAGCCACGCCCGCGGCATATAGCTGGCTGCGTGTGCCACGCTTGTGGCATGGGGCAGCTGCCAGAGCCGCGGCGATGACGCGTAGCCTAGGGGGGCTGCCACGCGCGTGGCACGCGCGCTAGAGCAGCGCAGCGCCCGCGACATGTAGAGACGCCGCCACGTGCGTGACATGGCGCGGCGCGCGGCCTGAGTAACGCCCGGGGCACAGGACACGGGCCGCAACATCGTTGACGCGCATATAGCCTGGGGACGACGACATGCACGTGGCAAGCGTGCGCACGCAATGATACGTTCACGGCAGGGCGGTATGCAGCCACCGCAGTGGCCAGACACGAACGGCGTGCGCCACGACTGTGGCATGGGGCAGGTACCACAGCCACAGCCGTGGCATATGCACCATGGGAGCTGCCGCATCCGCGGCTGCGCGACTGCTCATTGCCACGTCCGTGGCAGACGAGCGTTCAGCCACAGACGTGGCATGGCGCTAGCTGCCCAAGCCACGCACGTGGCATGCGGCAGCTGCCGCCGCCACGACTGTGGTACACGGCATGGGGGATATGCCACGTGCGTGGCAGGCGGGCCAGGTCACTGCCACGCAGATGGCATGCGCGCGCTTGCCATGCCACGCCTGTGGCACGGACGCTGCCGCAGCCGCGGCCGTGGCAAGCCACGTTCGTGGCACGCCGCGGCGGTGGCAAATCACCTTTGGAGCAGCCACGCCCGTGGTACACATCGGCGGTTCCTGCCACGGCCGTGGCTGGCCCCCTGGGCCCTTGCCACGGCCGTGGCCTGCCGCCCTGGGCCCTTGCCACGGCCGTGGCTTGGCGCCCTGGGCCCTTGCCACGGCCGTGGCTTGCCGCCCTGGGCCCTGCCATGGCCGTGGCAGCTGCCCTCTGGGAGCTTCCACTTTCGCAGCTTGCCGCCGCCTGTCGAAATGAAGATTTGCGCTCGCTCGAGCACAAAAAAATGTAATTAATATACACACAACGCAACAACTAATGTAAAATGTCATGCTCGCAATCATTCTCGTCACCTTCCCCCTGCTCACAATCCTTATCCCCTCGCGCGCACGACGCACCGCCTGCGCTCTATATTTCGCGAGTGTGCAACGCGCGCTCCAGCATTGCGAACGCCGCGTCTCACGTGCAACGCGAGCGTGCACTTGCGCGTGCACGCGACGGCGCACGGGCGTGCGCGCCCACACACACACACTGCATTACATGTGTGCGCTGTAGCCGAGTCGTCGGCCTCGTCGTCGTAGTCGCAGTCGGCGCTGTCATCGCCATTGTCGTCCTAGTCGTCTGGCATGGGGCGTCAGTCGTCAGCCGTCTCCAGTTTGACTGTCGTCGCCGACGTCGTCGTCCATGGTCGACTTCGTCGAGGGTCCTTTCTCGTCGTCGTCGTGGTCTTCGTTTTCGTCGCAATCGTCTGCGTCGTAGTGTTCGTCGTTATCGGCGTCGTCGCCGTGTGCGTCGTCATCGTCGTCATTGTTGTCGTTGTCGCAGCCGACGCCGTCGTCGTTGTCGTGGTCGCCTCTGTGCCCCTGCCCCCTGCGGCCGCTGCGAGGCGACCTGCGTCGGCATCGCGATGACTGCTGCCTACCGCGCGGGGTGCGGCCCCTCCGACCTCTTCGACACGACTGGCACGTTCCACGACGTGCGCGAGATATTCGCAGATGGTTCGCTGGATATTGAAATCATGAACGCGATCGATGCGAGCCCGTGCCTAGTGCACGCCAACTACAGGCTCCAGCTCGTGGACAGCCAGGGCCACTGGGCCGTCACTCGCTCTCCAGCCAACCAGAGAGGTCAACGGGGTCGGCGAAAGCGGCGCCGACGTTGGCCGACGGGGGAACGCCGGACAGGGGGGGGGAACTATAAGGAAGGTGGGGGGCATGGGAGAGACACGGGGGCTCATGGAGGCTGTCGGGTTGGAGCGGTGACGGATGGTGGGGGGGGGGGAGGACAGACGGATTGGGGTAAACGGGGCAATTTGGCGGGAGGAGGCGATGGGAGTGACGGGGGAAGCAGTAGGGGGAGGGTGGAGGGAGGATATTCGTCATTTGCCCATCCGTCATGGTCAAGCGTAATTGTATGTCGTCGTGCGTCTGCTGCCATTGTGTAGCGTCCGTCGCCGATTCGCCCCCTGAGCAGGCGACCTGAGCTCCCAGCTCCAGAGGCAGAAGAGCGTGGAGTCGGTGGGCATCTTGACCGAGCTGCGGGGCGGGGCGTGGGTGACGCAACACGAGGACCCGAATGAGCATGAGAAGTTCTACACCGAGCACTTCGCTACGCTGTGCGAAGGACAGCGGCTGGGCCCCAAGCGTACCACCCCCTTGCTGTCATTAAATATTTCATATATTTACGAATGCCCATACTCCGATCTGATGCTGGCGCCTTCCTACTTCAGGAATCGTTTGTCTCGAACTTTAGTTGCGGGTCGCTTAGGCGGGCCAGCGCGGCCAACGCCGTTTCTTAAATGCGTCATGTTTCTCCTGAGATCATTGGGTGGCAACGAGTCCTTGCAGACTGCATCACATCGTGGCTCGCGCCCTTGCATCCTTGGAGCCTCGGGAAAGCAGTTGCCTCCGAGGGGTCAGATATCTGCGCCTCATGCTCGCGCCAAAATTCTTGGAACCTCATGTCCTGCACGAGCAATGTTGCGATGGGCCCTGGGGAAAGGAGCGGGGGCGATGTGGCGGGCGTCCAGCGCGTCTGGCCCTTCATCGCCCGCTCGTTTCATCGTCGCCCTCTCCTGCCCCCACTTCGCCCGCTCTCATGATGCGGGGCCCCGTCGCAGGCGCAAGGCGCGCGTGGGAAGCCGACGTCAAGAAAGAGAACAGAGCTGTCCAGGACGTTGCATTGGGAGCCTCCAACTTCTCCAGCCCCCTCCCCCCCCCTCCCTCAGCTGCAACAGGGGATGCGCGCGCTTGGGTGTTAGGGGCAATAAGGCCCCAACCAACGGGGTCGCTTGGGGAAGGGTGGTAGACGTGGGCATCTGGAGATTGCGCAGCTCTCCTCCCGCTCATCCGTCTTTCACTCCCACCTGCCCTGCACTCATCCTATCGCACCGACCCGCCCCTCCTCCCTTCCATCCCCACTCCCCCAACGTCTGGGGCAAGGCCTGCGAGTGGGCAGAGGTCTCGGGGGCTGCTGGGTTTGGCCCGCGGGCGCCCATGCGCCGCATCCCCGTTGTCGACGTTGCTTGTTCCTGATTTCTTGGGTGTCCCAGTACAGCGTCTCTTACGGCATCCCGAACAGTAAAGTATATTCTAGGAAGTGCGCCATGTTTGTTCGAGAGTTCCTTGTTTACATGGGGAATCGCTTCAACAAGGACGTGACGGTGACGACCATACTTGAGGTTTTTCGGAGCACTCAGGTCGTAGAGGCCACGTGGGCTCGGAAGAAGAAGAGCGGCACGTGGATTGAGGGCCAGCTCAAGGGTAGCAAGGACAGTTTGAAGTACGAGCTTGCGAATGCCCTCTTTCCCGCGCGCTGGCCGTCCTACCACAGCTACGAGCTGTGCCAAATATTCTACAAGGAGCCGCGGCGGAGGCAAACGGGATAGGGGACAGGAAGCACTAGGGTGCACAACGTTCTCGGAGAACGGTTAGGAGGAGGAGGAGGCAGGACGCGGAGGAGGAGCCCGATGAGGAGGGAAGCATGGGGGGCGACGAGGAGGATTGCTCCTTGTTGTGGTCGTAGTCGCCCTCGTCGAATCGTCGGAGTCGTCACCGCAACGGCTGTGGCGGCGATGTCCGTCGCCAGTGTCGCGGCGACGTCGGCGCGACGGTGGAGCGCGACGGTTCGGGCCGCTCCCCCCCCGAGGACGCCCAGACCAAGAAGATGAGTCCGCTGGAGCGCTTCGGGAACGCTGAGACTATCTGGGACGCCCTAGTACACGTCGTCCAGCAGGAGGTGGACCTGACCTGCGGCGACGCGACACACTACGACAAGATCATCCACGTGTGCTACGAAGTGTTCAGGATCCGTTTGCTCGCACTGGTACCCCCCCTCCTCTTCATTTGCAGCGCTCTCACTGGCAATGTAATGGGGAACGGCGCGGAGATATGTTAGCGGCGCGGGTGGCTGGGCGACTGGAGGGGGAGGGGCGGGCGACTGGAGGGAGGGGGGATAGAAGGGGGAGGAGGGCGAGGAAATATCAGGCTCATATTTTCTCCTC